GATTTAAATTTTAACTCGAAATTTCATAAAATAGTTGAGATGTCCCACCTTAATGTTAATAATGTGTTGAAGTTCCTCTGTTCGCTACCCAATCGTTAAGTGGCGTTACCACCGAGAGTACAAGGCCTAACAACAGACGCGTGACGTCACCACGAGTAGGCCGGTCGGCCGGCCGACAGCACGGCGTGCCGTACATCAGCGCTAGTGAATAATATATTATTGCAGCATATTTAATATACTCTACCTGATGTAAATAACAAATAATTCAGAAAAGTGTTTTTGGTATATGAAGGCAACTTGGTGGAAAATATTAAAGTAGTTATTAACTATTTTTACCCTGATTTTCACTGATATTTCATCCAACATTACGTGCACATTAGATTAATAAGTTGATGTTATAAAAGCTTGCTAAAATGATAAATTCTTCAATGGATAACCCCATGTTAGTCACAACCGGTCAACAAAATTTCACAGGAATATGTAGACAATTTACTATTATTAGAGGTATAATATAATGCTAATTGAAAGTATATAAAAAATGTAGTGCTTGTAGAACAGTTGTGTCCAGCAAGAACCAACGAGGAGGTCTGAGGTAAGCTCTTGCCAGGAAAGGAATAAGGAAGATGAGGAGAAAAAAGTGTAGGATAAATGACAAGAAAAGCAGATGAAATCAAAGTAAAGGAAAAACATAACAAAGATTAACGAAAACTTAATAAAAACTCTTAGAACAAACAAATAACAGCACAAAATAATAACAAAAATTAGAAAACAGAAAACAAGTATCAAAAATAACAAAAATTAGAATAATGAAAATTAAAGTGCTAAATTCTAAATATGTACAAATAAATATTTATCTACAGCTATGTAAAGGTTGCGGCCTCATGTGAATATAGTCAATTTACGTTTCTTTGCTTTATTCGCGCTTGCAAAGCTGTCGTTCCTTTTGGCACAATAATTTTTCAAAAATGTATTGACTGTGCAAATAACAATTAGTTTTATAACATAATCTGGTGAATGGACTGTGCAACGCGAAAATAAAGTGTCGTGATTGTTATCACTCAGATTGTTAATTATTAACTGAGAAAGAACGCGTCTCTTGTCAGTGATTTCTAAAAATGATTCCTCGTCACTTTCCAAAACTTTATTGAAAATTATATAACTTAGCATGACAATATTAATAATTGAATCCTTTGGGAATTTTAAGCCACCTCTACTCAAATTTTGTATAATATTGTGCTTGTCTTCTATATCAATATCATATGCGTGTGTCAAATTTTCCTTACAATGATCACAGTGATTTTTCTTTAATAAGGCATAACAACAGTAACCAGCTAAGTAGGTGATGACAGTGATTTCATCCTTTATACTATCAAGATCAGACTGTAAAATTTCAATTTCCCGGAAAAAGTGGTAATCATTAAAATTTTGTAGAATTTCATCTATTTCTAAATCATCATTTTCACAGAATTTATCTATTTGTATATCACCAAAGCGAGACTTCAATGACATCAGGCTTTGAGTTCGTAACTTTTTCTCAGATTCATATAACTGACGAATTGATATATTATATTGACCCCCTGCCAGTTGATGATACTTACCAAATCTATTTTCCAATGAGTCAGTTTGAAATTTACCTAACAATATATAATTACTGTGCAGTTCAGATTTGCAGTACCTTACTAAGTCTGACTAGTTAGTCTTTTTGAAAAGTTTGCTGGATCAGTCCACTCTTCTAGCCAATCTAGCATTTTTTGCAAGAATGTCAGCTTACCGTCATCACCTTGTCCATCACTGTTGGAGCAAACAATAGGCTCTGCATAAAGGTCATTTAACCGCTTTCCTTTCAATGGACTTTTTACATTGACAATTCTCCACCACTTCCATATAATATCAATCAATTTTGCTGTATGTTTTTGCCAAACCTTGATACTGCATCTATTACAAATGGGTTGAATATCTTGAGAGCTAAATGACCATTTTGTCTTTCAAGGTTGATAGGATATAAAGCTTTTAGGGTCAAACCATAACCATTTTTCAATATTTTATGACTTTCCATTTGGTACAATATTTTAAGAGATTTAAATGAAGCAACATTTACCTCATGTGTTTCAAAATCTGGGTATGTTAAAATTTGGTCTGGTATTGAATTCAGCCAATTATTGCGGATACATTTTAGAAGGTGCACTGTATCAAAAAGGAAGAATAGGGGACGTTTTTTATCCAACCGATGAGGATAAACAATGCTTGTTTTATTATCTGGAGAAAAATGCGCCATCGCTTTACTATTCAGTGCATTATTATCACTTACAACACAAAAAAATTTATAACCAAGTTCTTCTAATCCGATAATAAGTTTTTTTGTCATATTGTATAATAGATTATGCTCAATTTTAGAAACAGGACAGATTTGAACAACGTCTTTGAAATTGGAGTAGAAGCTGTTTCCAGATCAATTTTGAAAATTAGGTCTTTGTAGCTAAACCAGGAGATCTATAAAGAATTTCTCGATTTATTATGTGGACACAAATCGCATAATTTTTTGTTAGTCGGAGAGATATTTCCGAAGAAATCGACTATAAGTATTTGCTAATATCCCCACGGTATCCCGGGTATCTAGGCATTGGACTTGAGTGGTTGCTTGAGAAGGTAAAATAAAGATTCGTTACTTCAAACACGCCCTTTGATTGGTCAAGTTTGATCCTCTGTTCCATTGCCCATTTACATGGGGTATTCAGTACCAAAAGAATCCAGTTCTTTAAATCCTACATGTAAACGCGTAGTAGGTGAAACGGAAATATAATAATTATTGTTTACTTAGGCATAAACCAGCTTGCAATGAAATTATACCTTATGGCTTTTAGACCCCGGAAATCCAGTTTTCTCGTTCAAGTCCATGTCCGACTCTCGGTTTACTTATGCACTTGCCAAACTGAGTCCTTGTCAGTGTTTAGCCTCAGTAATAACATCATTTAGGATGAAAGCGTCGTAGTAGACAGCAACTGTTAGAACCCAGCCAACATTCTATTGGACGATGGAAGTGAAAAAATCACAATCTTTGCTTTTGTATGATTTTCACTATATCCAAACCTACCAAAGCTACGTTTCTATTCATTCCTGGTGTAAAATCACAACTTAAAACTAAGTCCAGCCGTCATGCTATTTCCATTTGCTCCTAGTATAAACACTATACGACATAGGTTAACCCTGACACCAGGGGCGGCTGGCCCGTAAGTTCTGCAGAGCTGCAGAACTGCAAAAACTTTTGTCTTAACATTCATTCATTCATTTTCGTCGCGACCGCAGAGTAACATTATTCATGGGCCACTTGATAAGAGTCTGCGCACTACTTCGACACAAGCCGCACGCGCTTGCTTTTGTCTCTCTCTACAAAATCAAATGCGCGATTTAAGCATAACCATGTGCTGCAATTTATACAGATCCGTACAGATCTAATGCCAAGTACGGTATATGATTGGTCGGTCGGTGCTCGGTCCTCGGCGTTGGCATAATGGTCTTATCGCGTGACGTGGCTTAAAATTTGAATGCGAACAATTTTTTATTTAGGTATTTTGGGTCTTACGTTGAGTGACTAGTGGACTCACTGACTGACTGTGTCTGTGTAGACGGGTAGTGCAAGACAATGGATGTGGTTTACAGACTTATGAGCGTGAAACGATTCTGAAAACACACATTTGAAGAAAAAATTGAGCTGAAGGTGTCAGGTGTACCGCTGCCGGACATATTTATAGAAACACAGGGCGTTAGTCGGGGTAAGGGCTATACGCGGCATTTCAGCAGGGAGATTTATACCAGAAATGACTGGATTTGTGGGTGCAACAGGGAGAAAGCCCATTTCTGCTTTCCTTGCATACTATGCGGTGGCGACAAAGCTTGGACGCAGGTAGGTGTTACAGATTTAGTGCTCCTGAGTGAACAAATTAAGAAGCATGAAAACTCTAAAACACATCTTCATAATTCGATGGAATTGGCTTTATTGGGGACTGTTAACATCAGAGCCCCGTTAGATTCAGCATATTGGAGAAATATACAACAACATAATGACACCGTGACAAAAAACAGGTACGTTCTATGAAAAATAGTCGATGGTATAAAATTTTGCGGAGCATTTGAATTGGCGCTACGGGGCCGCGACGAAACTTAGAGCTCCCAAATCCCGGGAATATTTCGTGGACTGATGAATTTTTCTGCTGAGCTTGATACAACCCTAAGCGAACATATAAAAAATGCTTTAATATTTAAAGGAACTTCGAAAGAAATACAAAACGATCCACTAGATTGTATTCTTGAAGTTTGTCATGAAGAAATAATAAAACAGATTAACAGAGCCTCGTATTTGGCGATAATAGCAGATGAAACAACAGACATTTCGAGGAAAACCCAACTAGTAACAATTTTCAGATACGTATTTAACAGCGAACCAGTAGAACGTTTTTGGAATTATATGAATCCCGAAAAATGTGACGCTGATACTCCCACAAGGAATATTCTGAGCGGGGTAGATCCATTAATAGGAAATTTCACTAACAAACTGATTTCACAAAGCTATGATGGAGCCGCCGTCATGAGCGGACATAATGCTGGAGTATAGGCAAAAATCAATCGATTTGCTCACTATGTGCATTGCTATGTGCATCAGTTAAACCTGATTATGTCCCAAGCTGCTTCAGCAAATGCTCAATTTCGGGTATTCTTTGGGGATTTGAAAGATATTCCGGGATTTTTTAATAATTCTCCACAACGCGTAGAGGTACTGAACAGAATTGTGGGGAAAAAATTCCCCAAGGAGCAACAACTCATTGGAATTTTAATATTCGAACAATAAATGTAGTGTTTGAGAACAGAGAATCACTCATTGAATGCATGGAAGAAATAGAAGAACATTTCACTAATGAAACCGTTTTGCAAGGCAGCTTGCGGTATTCGCCTTATGTTGAACGATTCTGTTCTCGTGTTTTTTTTTGACATTTCTTCATCATGTCATGTCTCACGTCGACATCTTGTTCAACCAGTTGCAGAAGAGAAAAACCGAGCCAGCGCAAGTTAAAACGGCTATCGATAACTTTGAAATATGTATTGTCGATGTGAGAAATAAAATTGATGACATAATAAATGACGCCAAAGGTATTTGCACTGAACCCCAAGGCAACAAAAGGAGACGACGTAATAATAAAAGTCACGATCACCGAGTTGCTGCATTAGAAGTACGCGACAATATAGTGAATTCTGCAAATGACAGATTTCAATTCAAAGATCATTTGGTAGCCGCATCCCTTTTTTCCCCGAACACTTTGGAGAATACTGTGGTAAGTTTCCTGATGACAAGTTGGAAACTACCTGCTTGGCTTATCCCGAATTAGAAAAAAGTCTTTTGAAGACAGAGTTGTCTATTATTTATGCACGGAATGATTGCCGAGATTTACATAGAACTCTGTCTCTATTGAAATTTTTGAAACAAAATAGTTTGGAGGAAACACTAAAAGAAACAAAAAAGCTATTAGAAATTATTGTTACAACTCCTATGTCAACATCAGAGGCTGAGCGAAATTTCTCAACATCGAAAAAAATCAAGACCTTTCTTCAAAATACTATGACTCAGGATCGTCTTACAGCGTTGTCGATACTGTCAATTGAAAAGGAATTTATCTCGACCATGGAAAATTTCAACGGGAAGGTGATCGACAAATTTCCTGCCACGAAGGAGCGCAGGATCGAACTGACATATAAAAAATAGGTAAGGTCGGATTTGCAGAACACCTGTTTTATTTTGCCACGAGTCGCCACTGCATGACACTAACCAGTATACTATCTCTGTCTTATCGCGAGTGATGCCACTTAGTAGAAGACCCAAAATTCTTTCAATTCGCATATCTCTCTTTGACTTTGGGACAACTCTATATAAAACGTTGATTCAAGGTTCTATTAGGGGCCTCGGTTGGCCGCGTTGGTCAGAATGTCGTGCTGTTCGCCTTCGCCATGGACGTTGTGACGTCGTGTGTTTGTCGTCCATAATTATAGAAATATATAAAATATCCAACCTAGTTTCTGGCTGCATGGCCTAGTCCTAAAGCCAAAAAAAAAAAAAGGTTCTATTACGTTGCATCAAGAAAATTCTTCGCGACAAGTTTAAAAACAGGGCACCATATAATTTTCACACTGCAATCAGAATGATAAGTGGAATGTGTCTGGTAGCCACATTGTTCTCTTAATTTTTTGTCTCAGTTTTTCCAAATATTTCGTGTCGCAAGAAATTGAAACGTTTATTTTTTCAGGACATTAGGCTGCACTATTACGTAATTGTGAGATAAACTATCCAGGTCTTGAAATGTTTGAGGAGAATATCACTCTCATGTATAAAAAATGCCATTAGCGGTGTGGGATTACCACAAAATTACAGCGAATATTTTCAGTTACCTAGACAACGGAACGTTCAGTGAAAATTGCCCGGTAGATATCGAAAATCTTCCTATAGGTTCGTATCCATAATTACGATTGATGGAATGTGCATTTGTCGTCTTGACATGCATACATACTCTTTCAACTCGGGAAATATCCTACCGAATCACACTCGTGCATCAAAATAGACCTGATAATTTTATTTTCAGTAAAAAACCGCATTCGGTTGTTTTCGAAGGAGGAAAGCCCTTTCAACAAGATATGAAAATAAACTCATACAGTGTTTAGTCAATACGCTTTCAAGAAGAGCTATCGGCAACTTCGATGAACCTGTGTAATTACTTCCAAAAATGTCACTATACCGGACCTTATATGTAGATCACATGAGATACACAATCAGTACTAAACGACTGGCCCTCGTTGACAAAAATCTTAATATAGAGATTCCTTTATTCTCCCAAGCCCAAAATAGGGGGTTGCTTAAAATTGTTTGCAAAGAGTATGTGAACTCAGGTACTTAAGTAGGTCACGAAGCCTTCAAAGTTGGCCATCCACACTCCGCTGTGGCAATTGACACTACCAGTTCTTTACATTTTGGGAAATTCCTATATCCAATTCCAATAGTTCAAATGTTAAATATGTTTGCTGCATTATAAAGCTTCAAATTTGTCGATTGCTCGTGCTACCTCCACTGTAACATAAACAATAATTCGCCTCAATAATTATTTGTAATGAACATACGTGTTTGCTTCTGTACAAAAACAAAATAAACAGTTCCGTAATCATTCATATATTTGGAATAATATTCCAGCATAACAAAAAGCTCCAAGTGCTGTTCAAACAAACATGCACTATCCATTGTTTAAAATAATATGCTGCCCTCTTTATGCCTTTTGTATATGAAGCCCATTAGTTTTTGTGCCAAATGTGATATTAACGGAAATACTTTGCATTTAGCTTGTATGTCTAAATAATCGTAGAGCTCTATTTGTAATTGTGTATGTGTAAATTATCTTAGTTTACCAAATCCATTATTGTTTATTATCCCCGTTTAACAGGGTAGAATTATACCCGTATACTCTTCTGGAAATTAATACCAATGCGACAAAATTTCCATTTATTCAACCTTACAATGCGTTACGCAATACTTCTCTCACTGTCAGTGTAGGTGCAGAATTACAAGCTTTTGACCATTAACCCTTGCAGATGCGCTGTCATCTTCAATCAAGCGATATCAGTAACAATCTTCCCATTTTTATTCTTGAAGATACAGTACATACCTCTTATTAACAAAGAACAATCGCGTTGTTTTTAGGTTGTCATGCATATATGTCGTATACGTCGACTATAGCGTATGCCTCACTAGCATAACTGGGCAAGCCAATAGTAGAGTTAGAGTTTTGAAATAGGTCCGTACAAAATTGATACTTGGTGTAATTCTGGTTAAAATCTAATATATTTTACCGATAAGTTTTGAACGCGGTTTAAACACTCTGGACGGGTTACAACTTTCCAAAAATATTCAAGCTTTGTTCAACACCATTTTGAGCTTCTGTTTCTTGGGCTACCATAAACAATAAGGGATTTGGCTTTCCTTTTCAAACTCGTAATACTTGGTAATGAAGTCTGTAAAAGCTCCCACATCAAAATATCTGCTTTGAACGCTCCAATACAAAAAACCATATCATTAATTCATATGTGTCCCCTTTCATAAATTGGAAAGTACTATCCAGATTTTATGACGTTGTTATAAACTTACTATGATGCCAATAACGAAAACGTACACTTCCTTTTCTGATGTTTTCCAGTTTTTGAATTCCTTTTGCGGTAATGGATGCTGGACAAGCTTCAGAAACCGCTGCAGAGACTTAAGGGAACAGGAAGCTCAAGTCATTTCAAATTGCAAAACCATACAGAATTGGTTTGTGTGTGCAGAAATCGTCTTAATTATCGTTTGGATCTTTCTTACGAGAGCATTGACAAGCACTTCAATCGAGAACCATTGAAGTACAAATGTCACGAGTGATCAAGTCATCAATGTAAACGTCTGCAAATTTGGTAGGTTGGGATATACATCTATGCATTTTTGCACACTCTGAGGCCCGCATCGTCAGTTGTTCCTACAATTGTAGGACGCCTTTAAGGCCTCCTTTATTGTCATAGTTTTCTACTTTTCCGTGTCCGCGCTCTATTTTGAGGTTATGTCACAAATATCTATTTGCATCAAATTGTACATGCTTTTGATTTATGTCACGTTTTATCAGCCTGAAATTTCCTACAATTTAAAAAGAAAACATATCTTCACAATACGAGACCGCTGACGCTGACACAGAACAGATGCAATCTAGACATTTTTGATGGAGAGAAAGGAGTATGACAATCAAGGAGGCCATAAAGGCGTCCTACAATTGTAATATTTAGGCTCCTCAAAGTTCTTCGGTTGTAGATACATCTTCAACATTCGTCTATTTTCTTCGTTGCATGCGTGATACTACTAACAACAAAGCAGATGTATGCACTTGTTTTGTTATTCGAATTCCCAATGTTGAAAGAGCAGTCTACCCAGCTTGCATCATTGACGTATTCACGGTTACTAATAATTCGCGGTATCCCTTCCAGGACTCCAATTATTGAGCGTGGTAGAATATAGAAAATGCTCCCAAATTCTGACAGATTTTGACACCTGTTAAACAAGTTTATAAACACATTTTCGGCAAAATAATACGTTCCTAGGGTGTTGAACGTTTTACCACAAAGTAAGCTTCGTGATCAAAGATGAACGACGGTCCTCTTTCTCCCAAGAATGACTCGTGTAGTGCGTATTCTGTCAATATTCAGAGCCAGAGCTCCCCGAAAAGCAAGAGCATCACAACCATTTTCTCTTAATTATTCTAGCCTATCGTTCTCAGGGCCAAGCACCCTGAGCGTGACAGGGGGCCTAAATTGCAATAAGTTTCTTCCGAGTGAGATTTCAATCGATCTTCATGTTTATACTGAAATTTGGCTTATCATAAAAGGTACAAGAATACTATACTCCATAAAATAAAGGTTAGTCCGAAAAATAAGGTTTTTGTTTTTAGCTTTATGTGGAAGAAAACCATGTCTAACTCTAAATATTACCAGTATATTAAGCGTACAAATAAGCAGAAAAACTTGATTGTATGATCAGCTTCCCAGCTGAAATACATGAACAACGAAGCACTTATTTCTAAGCGAATAGTCGATCAAAATGATTCAGGTCAAATAATAGTATTTTGACTAATTAATAATTTTATATCTTACTCGTTAATGGGGTAAAAGGGGCCCATAGTTGATTTCCCTTGTTTTACTGTGCGGTAGAGAAATGGCTCTAATCTAACTAATTCTCAAAGCTCTGGTAACTGCGTGTGCCACGTGTTTATGATATGTTGCCCTGCAGAGACAGAAAATTCTTCAGTGACCGATGACTCGACTACGGCTATATCGCCTTCCAATTTCTGTATGGTCACAATTAAGGTACACAGAAAATACTAACATCGCTTTCTTAAACGCAGAGCCTTATTAATCCCATCAAAGAGCTACATATCGAGAACAGGTAACACAGGCACCGTTCAGGCTTTAGACAATGCACCATGCTTAAGCGATGTCTTTAGAATATATAGGAAATGCACAAAAATAAATAAATGGTCTTTTAGATCAAATGTTACAAAAGCAGAAGCTAACAAGCAAATGCATACAAATTAAATACGTGTGGATCGTGGGTGATTGATTGCACTGAGGAATTATCACTCGCGTTCTTATTTCTCTTATAATCGCCAAATGATGTTAGAGAAACACTTCAGTAACTTTTGTAGACTAACTTTTATTGAGACATCAGCAACAGTTGAGAACAGAAGAACAAGTAACGAAATGAGTACAGAGAATGGTCAAAGACCCTTTTTATATTATAAGATTACACTTACGAATTTTCCAGAAATCAGTAGTC